TCCTGTTCACTGAAGTACAAGCAAATGACCGAAGTAGGAAAAGTTTGGTCCTGCTTACACGCCATTGAGTTCAGTGACATTCCTGGTCAGTTAGCAGAAACTTGAACCCCTTTTTAAATCTCAACTGATTTGTGTCTTGTTCCTTCCCCACAGGGGGCGCCTGCATTTCCAAGTATAATCTTCCATTCATCAATGTAAAACGGTAGTAAAAAGATGTAAAAGGTCATAATAACCACGTAAGCACATGCAACAGAGAAAAATGACTACTTGGAGATTCTAAAGAAAGCAGAATGTCGTTTGAAGTCCGGACTTCCTAGTAATTCTCACTGGCCCAGTCAAATTCTGTTGCCTTTTAATTTGATTCTTTGGAGAAAGATAACTCAGTTTAATTCATTCCCTTAAAAGCTTAAAAGCTGCCTTGATTAGGATTTAAAATAAAGTTCTGTTGGTTTTTTTTTGTAGCACAACATATTTCACTACTATTCGTGGTAACAGAAACAGCTAGAATCCAAAAACGAAGTATTGTAAGTTGAACTTGCAGGAAATGTGAGAGACTCTTCATTTCCCTGCATTTCGATTTACGAAAGGCTTCAAAGAAGCACTCTACTTGCGGATAGCGGGGGAAATCTGAATTTAGAAAAGCTCCCTTCACACCTCGCCAGCCATAATTTACTACCTGAACTGGCTTTGTGGCCGGGTGACCTGGGCATTCATACAGGGTCTGGGTGGAGAAGGATCCTGTGCTTCATTTACTGCTCTGCTTTGGCCTTCTCAAAATTCTTAATAATTAGTGAACACAGGGTCCTGCCCTTTTATTTTGCCCTGGGCCAGGCAGAATATATAGCCAATTCTGTCACCATCCCACTCCTCCCCCACGTGCCCCCCCTCCACTTCTGTCATCACTCTGAAGGGCTTGTAACTCCCAGGATTTTCCGTGTATGTAAGCATATATGTGTTAGGTTTTACGTCGATGGGATTATTCTATACATACTCTTTACTTTCTTTGCCTCCTCAGTGTTGCATGATGGAATTTTTCCACTGAACAGCCTCCGCCTCCCCGGCACCCATACCCATGTCCTTGTCCCCCTAGGCAGTCTCCATACTGCTGCACGATGGTTTTTCTAATTCTGGTTGTGCCGCTCCCCTGCTAAAAATGCACAATGCTTCCCTGTGGTGTACAGAACAAATCAGCATCCTGGTAAACAAAACAGACTCTCCAGGACCATTGCCAATGTGCTGGCAGATCTGAGTTTCTGAGCCTGCAGGTTGGAAGGATGTTTCTGGACCCAAAGAATCACTAAGAGAAGCCCTCCCTGCCTAGCAGCCAGCTGGCTGGTCTCTGCTGGGATCACCTGATCTGAACACAGGCTTTTATTTTCAGACTTTGTTAACATCATCTCTCTAACAGGCAGGAAGACCGGATCGTCCCTTTCTTTTACCATTGCTTTGTAGAGTTGCTAATAGTTGAAATGGACAAAGACAGTATGGTGGACTCATGGTGTCCTCCCAAAATTCACATGTTGAAACTCTAACCCTCCATGTGACAGTATTAAGAGGTGGAGCTTTTAGGTTCAGATGAGGTCATGAAGGTGGCGGTCCCATGATGGGATTAATGTCTTTATAAGAAGAAGAGATCAGAGCTCTCTCTTTCTCTTTCTCTTTCTCTTTGTCTCTGTCTCTCTCTCTCTATGCCTTATGAGGACACAGAAAAAAGGCAGCCAACCAAAGCCAGCAAGAGGGCTCTCATCAGTATCCAACCGTGCTGGTACCCTGATCCTGGACTTCTCAGCCTCCAGAACCATGAGAAATAAATATCTCTTTTAGCCATCCAGTCTACGATATTTTCAGGCTAACAGGAAGGAAGGCTTTTAGGTTTCAACAAAGTTGACTAACCCACAGCATTGGATTAGGTCAGGTAGATTTATTCTTATTCTGCAGGTGAAGACAATGAGCCTGAGAAACAGTGTGTCTGTCCAAAGCCATGGAACTGAGTGATGAAC